TTTTTTTTTTCCTACAGCAAGGTCATGAAGCGAGAAGGCCCGTCTGCTTTCCTGAAGGGAGCAGGCTGCAGGGCTCTAGTCATCGCACCACTGTTTGGTATCGTGCAGGTCATGTACTTCATCGGCGTGGGAGAGTTTATCATGAGCCAGTCCTCACTAAAGCTAATCTCTGACTGAACAGACCCCAGTACCTCTCATACTGTGGCAGCTACACAACCAACTGTACATTTACAAGAAAAGATAAACATTAATCAAGATGGTAGAGTTGTTGAGAGAACGACAACTTCTACTCTGGTTAAAAGTTTTTTCCAGCCTTACCGCACTTCCTCTATGGTTTACAGGCTTATTTGATGGGCTGTGGCCAGCATTTTGCACTTGTTGGTAAGGATAACATCTGGAGGAGAGCGCTTAAGACGTGCTTACCTTTTCTAGAAGCATATGTGAAAGTTTCCCCTCAATGAGGGGAGACTGGTGTCACTGTAATGACACTAATGATTTATGTTGACTTTTTTCATCTATATATCTACAATTCTTTTTGTATTAATAGTCTCCTTTTTCCTACTCAAAGTTCATTTATTTCTGTTTTTCTGTTCCTGCCACTGTTTTCAGTGTCTAAACAATTGGGTTACTTAATGCTTTTGAAGCTTTCAGACCTTGTAACTCTAAATTGTTAATAGTTTTAGGGAATGTCATTGACTTCCGTTTCGTTTCATCAGATGCACATTTTGCTCCAGTTCAGTCTTTGAGCTGATTTTGGGGACGGTACACAAGGTGCTGTCTAAAATGCAGTATGCAATGACTACCTAAAACAGCCTAACATGATGCATATTGTATTTATGCAATATTTTGTCACTTTGAAGATGTGCATTTATTTTTATTTTTCCGTTATGTGGTCCAGCATGTTACAACTGTAGCTTCCAGGGATTTCTAATCACAAAGCATAGGTCATTATTTTTTAGGTCATGTGTTTGCCTTAAATTAAGACAAACTCTTCACAAAGTTTGAGGAACCTAGCCTTGAGCAAAAGGCTGTATAAGTGCTGTGATGTTTGATGACAGTATTAACATCTTCCTACAATGACACCTCAATGCAACATGGTTTAATGTAATGATATAATTCAACATTACAAAAAAATAATAAAAAAAAAAGTATACTTGTGTGAGCTGTTTTAATGTTGCTCAGGCTTTCATGACCTGTGACCATATTTTATTTCAAAGCCATTTATATGCAACACAATGCTATGAAAGAGTAAAAAAAAAACCTACTTGATGTTAAGAGCCACTACAAAAATGTGCATATTAATGTAATTGCAAACATGTTTATAATGGGGCTTTGTCAGTTATAAAGGCACACAGATCAATAAAACTAGTGGGTCACATTACTGAACAGACCTGCAGAAGAGAAAGAGAAAAAAAAAGAAATGGAAATGGTTGATTTACTTTAGCCATGTTTTTGGTTGGGCTGGGTTTTTGCAATTGTACAGCAGTATTGAAAATTACGTTTGTTGATCTCCCTAAAAACTGTTGTTTGCCCTTCACAGATTTAAAATCAGCCAAGTAAGGAAAGTAATATGTATTAACCAGTTACTAAAAAAAATCTGTTAAAAAAAAAAAAAAGATTAAACCAGTGACACTTGAAAAAGTCAACATGAATCAAACAATTTTGAGGTGTTTATTGTCTGGAACACGGAGGATGAAAGTTGAGTTTCCTCTCAGCAGTAACAGCTTTTCATCTCTATTATTGCTATAATCATTATTACATTACCATTAACCAACATAAAATTACTATTGGCAAGATTTTCAAAAGGTGGACTGCGAGAGTATTTGTTTTCTGGTTAACATTAACCAATAGCCCATTCAATAGCTGTGAGGGCAAAAAGTTAAAAAAAAAAGTTGACTTTTGATAAATTTATGAAGCTCCGTTTAGAAAATCATGCAATAATGAACCTTTCACAAAACTAGGAACGATATAAGTAAATAGGTTTTGATTTTGAGTTCGTGTTGAATTTGTTGACTCAATCCATTTCTCAGCTTCATTCAGTTTCTTTATGATGTGGCAAAATTACAATAACCAAACATTAACAGCAAAATAAACATGACCCATTATCTATTAGCACAGAAAACCTGGGGCCTCATTTATAAAATGTTGCGCAGAAACATCTTAAAATTGATCTTACGATCATCTCTCAAATAAAGTAAAAAAAAAAAAGTTGACTTGATAAATTTATGAAGCTCCGTTTAGAAAATCGTGCAATAATGAACCTTTCACAATAAAACTAGGAACGATATAAGTAAATAGGTTTTGATTTTGAGTTCATGTTGAATTTGTTGACTCAATCCATTTCTCAGCTTCATTCAGTTTCTTTATGATGTGGCAAAATTACAATAACCAAACATTAACAGCAAAATAAACATGACCCATTATCTATTAGCACAGAAAACCTGGGGCCTCATTTATAAAATGTTGCGCAGAAACATCTTAAAATTGATCTTACGATCATCTCTCAAATATGCATACGTGTGATTCATAAAATGAATCGCTAATGATCTTGAACTTGCGGGCAAATGAATGGTTTCAGCTCTCTGCTTGTAAACGACTCCTAATTAATGTCATTAACATGTAAAAGATCACCAGTCCTCGTCCAAATTCTTTACTTTAGAACGGCGAGCTGCAAGAACTGCTTACATTTCTAAAAACCTGCAGTGCTCCGACAAGAAAAAGTGCATACGTCTGCTCAGACCCTGACGTGACGCTAAAGCACTTTTCCACGTCAAAGACAGTTTTTACAAATATGAGCGTTGGCGTGGATTTAAGCGTACGCACATTCTAAGATCAAATCTGAGCGTACGCATGCTTTATAAATGAGGCCACTGGTCTAGTTCACACAATAAATAACATGAAAAGTAGTTGATCAGTGATGCATCAGAGAGCTTATTTACACCAGCAAGTAAATGTCCGTTTCATTCATTCTTAACTGGTAACTCAAGAACTATCTATTAAGTGAGACCAAGTTTGAAAAAAGCGAGATGTACACTGAAGATTCTCCTTGTGATGATTCGGTAATAAATCATTGAAGACAAAATAAATGTAAAGGTTAATGCAGTTACAGTAGCAGTCCATGCAGTGGAGGTCATCGTCAATGCAAGGAGCAGAAAAGACAGAAACCATCAGAGATAGAACGCTGATCACAAAACAGTACCACAAGACCCACACTGTCTCACGGGAGCTCCTCCACCCGCTTCCCGAGCCTGAATGTGATGGTCTGATGAGGTCAAAGACAGTGGGCTTTGAAACAGCCCAACTGGGTGAGAGGGGAAGCTTGAGGAACCTAAATAATTTCTCTGCTGTTCCGAATGGCGCAGCATAGAACCATGCTGAAGATCATGCCAATTATCTGTCAAAACAGTGAGGAAATGTTCAAATGTTATACATGATAAATATAGGCTACAGCGTTCCCAAAAAGTATTTGAACACTTAAAGGAACACAACTATTTTTGAAAATAGGCTCATTTTCCAACTCCCCTAGAGTTAAACAGTTGAGTTATAGTTCCTAGCCATATCGGCCTATAAAATTGCAACTTTTCATTTTCCCTCGGTCTTAGTACACGATGTAACTACAGAAGAGTCAAGTTTTAAATAGGAAAAATATAGAAACTCTTTGGTTCATTTTTGAGCGAGATGCTAACGGTCTAATCAGATTGGAAAATTTGCCTATTTTCAAAAATAGTGGAGTGTTCCTTTAAGCCAATTGTCACTGCATTACATAATATCAAACCAAGTCACAACACTTTTTATATATACTTTTCTATACTATAAAGCAAATCTTAACTGTAGGGATGCTCCGATTGATCGGCTACCGATCACAATCGGCCGATAATCACGTTGGGATGATTGATCGGCGGTCTCTAAAAAGGCCCATGTCAAAAAACCGATCTCAAGCTGATGACGCTGCTGTGAGAGGTTTGGCACAACATGCAGCGGCACCATCTCAGTCTCTGTCCGGCACGGGTGAAATAATTATAATGCTGAAGGTGAGGTACTCGCCTTCATATTTCTTCATCTATAAGCTGCAAGCGAGTTGCACAGTTGACACAGGAATTGTCACTTGCACAGTCGAGGCAGTGTCACATCGTCACTAAACACTAAAGATTGCATTTCTTTTTAATTCTTGCCAGTGTTTAACCATTCAGCGCTCGTGCGCTCTCCCGAAGACCGTGCGCTCATGCACACTCGCAGCGCACACACATAATGCCAGGTTCACATTACTCCGTTTGCAGTGCGAATG